ATAACAATATGTAGATATCGAGGAAAATTAATAAATTTTACATATATACGACATTTGATAAATGAAGTGATGGGATATTACACAATACATGTTTTATCACATATGCAAATGTGTGATTAACTTGCAATTATTCGAACGAATTATTAAAAACTTATATTCAATGACGATTCTTGTCTAACAATTTAGTTGCAGGTTCAGAGAGTCAATTCATTTAATTCAAGTCATTTAATTTTATCAGTTATTAATAAAAGAATGGAATATATAATAAAGAGAATGTAATAAACACTATATAAAAGAAAACTAAAGTATGATAATCAAATTTTCTGTGACGATATATGATAATCAATAATTAAAGAATATATGAAATGACATTTCAAAACTCTCTACAAAATAGATTTATATTGGATATTATGCTTTCAGTAATTATGCCATTATTCTCTACTTAATAATGTACAGAATATAATTAACAAATATTAAAAATCTGAAAAATGATATATGCAACATATTGAAATCTATCTATTAAAATATTTAATATAATGATTAATATAAATCTTTATTTTAACTTTGCGCTTATTTTATTTTGGAAAAGATGTGATTTTTTAAATAGAATAAAAGATAAAAATGTTACTTTGTAACATTTCGCAAATATATTTTCTCATAACGTCACTGATTAGACGTGATTTTTATTTAGAGAACGTAATATGAGAGAATTAGCTTTTTTCATTTAAAATTTTACAGAACCATCTAAAAAAAGAGTAAGTACCTATCTGCGATTACCTCATTCACTCGTGAGAAAAATTCGAGACATTATTTCGACTGACTATCTTCGGAAAGGGCTAAGGCATCTTATGCGGGTGCATTACGCTTGTGAGTACATCGTCGATCTCGCAAAGTCAGTGTGCCGGAATAAGCCGCTCTTTTTCTTTTTAGGACCGTACGCGAATGTATCGTTTTCTGTGCTCGAGAGGCCGCGCTTTTGGCTGTCCCAGCTGAAGTCACTTAATACGTTTCGAGAAGGGATTAGGTGTCGTGTTCCGTCGGTTCTAACCGTATAATATAGGCTTGCAGACTAGTGGAGCATCTGCTCCCGAGCCACGGGCCCTCGACTTCAGTCCCTCTGAGAGACTCGAGGTCTCGACTTCTCGAGACAGGAGAGGCCGCTAGGGAGAGGACTGAGTGGAGATTGGAAACACCAACACCAAGAAACACTAACACCAAGAGAATGAACGAGGGAGAGAGAGAAATAGAGGATTATTCTGCGCGGGCGCTTAAACGGGTTGCGAATGTGTGCGAGTATCGGCCACGACGAAAATAGACACAGGAATGACATTGTGGTGGGTTAATTCAATACGTACCGCTACAGCTAACGCAATTCAGTTGTCAAGAAATCAATTGTCAAGAGAATTTTTAAATAAGTATTCAATAGTACTTGGTATTAAAATGTCATATCCATGCACGTTCGAAAGTACTGAATTAAACCTTGACCTGTCCGGATAACATAAAGTGCGACAAAAACGTATATGTGATTTCTAAATTTTTATTTTATTTAGAAAACATAAATTATATTAAATTTAAGAAAATTTAAAAAATTATAAACGTAATAATCTAATGTGAATTTTAGATAAATTTAAAGCTAACTATATTTAATTATATTTAATCCGAATTTCGCAAAAGTTTTTGAACTCTTGTATTATTTGATTGAATAAATTCATTCGTTGCGAAGATATCGGTGTTCAATTAAATTAGAAACCCATAAATGCAAATAATTAATATCAATAATTTCTCATGGATAGTAATTTAATGCTCAATTAAGAATTTAATTTCGTGTTTATTAGTTAAATAGATATCGAAGCTTAATGAATTAAACAGATGGCTGCACATTTTTTAGAAAAAAACTTAATATGCTTTTTCTTAAAATACATAGTTTTAATGTAAACTTTTTTAGAGTAAGCTGTTGTAAACTGTTCTTGTTTTATTGATAATTACAAGAGATAATTCAAGAATTTTAACTTTAATTCAAGAGTTTTAACTGATTTAAGCGAACAAATATTACATTGAAGATCATAACTTCCGAAACTTTGGCTTACGAAGAATTTGACCGATAGATGATCTCAAAATTTGTTCGCGTGTTTGTGGTAGCTGCTTGTTTCGAATTTGAATTGGATCCTTGTATATATATATATATA